TTTCTCTCCGTCTCTAATTCTCTCTGTATATCTGCCCTTCAAGTGAAAAAAAAAAAAAAAGAAAAGAAATCTTTTAAAAAGAAAACAATTGTATAATATATATATATACATTGTATATACACACCTATTTAAGGATATTATACATTGTGTGATTGCAAAATTGCTTAGTATAATTGCATCTCATAATCCCACTGAATTCAGTGTAATCCCTATCAATACTACTATCACTACCAACAGTTGAGAAAACAATCTCAAAATTCATTTGAAAGCATGAAAGACACCAAATTGCCCAAGCAATCCTAACAAAAACAAAGATAGAGGCATCAAAAATCTACCTGACTTTAACGCTCTATTACAAAGCTACAGTTAAAAAAAAAAAAAGAAAGAAAGAAAACCAGCTTTGTGCTACTATAAAAGCAGTTATTATGACCAACGGAACAAGATGGAAAGCCTAGAACTTAGCACATACATTTGTGATCAAATCTGAACAGAAGTACATTTGGATAGAAGTACCAAGAACATGGAGTGGGAAAAGGAAATTCCTTTCAATAAGTGCTGCTGATAAAGGTAGAACACCACAAAAGAAGAATGATGTAAAAACCCTAACTCCCACTGTACACAAATCCAGCTCAAAATGGATTGAATACTGAATCATAAAACCTGACACTAGGCCCCGGAGCATTAGTCTAGTGGCTGAAGTCCTTGCCTTGCATCTGCCAGGAACCCATATGGGCGCCAGTTCATGTCCTAGCTGCTCTGGTTCACTTCCAGTTTTCTGCTTCTGGCCTGGGAAAGCAGTCAAGGATGGCCCTGGGCCTTGGGACCCTGTACCCACGTGGGAGACCCAGAAGAAGCTCCTGGCTCTTGGCTTCAGATCAGCTCAGCTCTAGCCAGTTGTGGCTACTGGGGAGTGAGCCAGTAGATGGAAGATCTTCCTCTCTGTATCTCTTCTCTGTAAACCCGACTTGCTAGTAAAAATTTAAAAGTCTTAAAAAAAACCCTGAAATAGTAGTGTTACTGGAAGGTCATATAGGAAAAATGGCATTAATATGAAGTAGTAACTTCATGGACACACCCTCAAAAACATATGTAACAAAAGCAAAAATGAACAAAGCATTGTGCAAAACAAACATGAACAAATCATATCATATTTAAAAGCTTGTGCAAAAGAAATGATTACAAATATTCAGAGAACTCCAATGAAAAAATAGTAAGAAGACCCATAGCAAAATCAAAAGCAGACAATTCTCAAAAGCACACAAATGACCCACAAATATATATGGGTGTGCATAAAATAATGCTCATCATCTCTAATCAGGGCAATCACAGTGAAATGTCACTCCCTGATTGGATAACTACTGTAACCGACGTTGGTGAGAGTGTGGAGGAAAGAAAACCTTTCACACTGTGGTGGGAATCTAAATAGCCATTATGGAGGTTCCTCAGAAAAGTACAAACAGAATTACCACATAATGCAGCAATCTCATCATTGGGTATCGCGCCAAAAGAACTGAAAACAGGATCTGGAAGAGACGGAGACATATTTATGCACCTACGTCCATGACAGCACTCGGCGCAATAGCCAAGATACGGAAGCAGCTTAGGTATCTATAATCAGTTAAGCAAATAAAGCAAATGTCACATATACACGTGGTAGGATGCTATCCAGCACTAAGAGCGGGGAGAAACTGTGTCATTCGTGACAACATGAAGGCACCTGGAAGACATCATTGCACAGCCCGAGAAGACAAAGGCCATACCTGCTTTCGTCCATGCCCACACTCCACAAACTGCACCATGAACTGATTTGTAAAAACTGGACAATATGGCTCATATTAGCAAATTAAAGCCTGAATTTTAAGTAATTGTTTAGTTTCATTGCTGGGTATAAAATAATTTAATTTAATTGGCCTCTCATGGATGGATGTTAAGACCATTTTTAGACCTTGTTCATTTAATTTCCTAATAAAACTTTTGAGGCTATAGATATCCATCTTCATGGAAAGTATTGGTCCATGATGTTCTCCTTCACACTTATTCTTAGCCAAAAGGCCAAGGAGAATTTATAATGTTCTTTTCTTATAATGTCTTTGTGTGGTTTTGGTGTTAAGTTAATATTGGCATGTAGAATAAATAAGAAAATATTTGCTCAACTTCTATCCTCTGAAAGAAACTAGAGACTTGGTACACTCCCCCCGCCTTTAATGTTTGGTAGAATTAGCCAGCGAACCTATCTGGGCTAGTGCTTTCTGATTCGGAAATGTCACTTCAACTTCTTTAACAAGTATATGCTCTGTTGGAATGCGTAATTCCCCATGTAAGTTTTGGCAGATTCTACTTATCAAAGAGTTTGTCCATTTCACTTGCCTTATCAATAATTGGACAAGGGGCTCGGTGCCATGGCCTAGCAGCTTAAGTCCTCGCCTTGAACACGCCAAGGATTCCATATGGGCGCCAGTTCTAATCTCGGCAGCTCCACTTCCCATCCAGCTCCCTGCTTGTGGACTGGGAAAGCAGTTGAGGATGACCCAAAGCCTTGGGACCCTGCACCCGTGTGGGTTACCTGGAGAAAGTTCCTGGCTCCTGGCTCCGGATTGGCACAGCACCAGCTGTTGCAGTCATTTGGGGAATGAATCAGCAGACGGAAGATCTTCTCTGTCTCTCCTCTCTGTATATTTGACTTTGTAATAAAAATAAATAAATCTTAAAAAAATAGTAATGATTGGACAAAAATTCATTCGTAATCTTCTGTTATCCTTCTTATGCTCACAGGATTTAAGTGATGTTCTTTGTTCCATTTATTTGTTTTTTACTGATATTTTTATTTGTTTCTTTTCTTTATCAGTCTGATAAGAGGCTAATTGATTTTAATGTTTTTTTTTTTCAAAGAGCCAGCTTTTGATTTTGTTGATTTTTTTCTATTAATTCCTCTTTGGAGTTTCTTTACTTTCTCCTGAACCAATTTTTATTATTACTTTTCTTCAGTTTTTGAAGATTGAATTTGCTTTTCTTTTTCTACTTTCCCAGCATGGAAGTTTCAGTCCCGATTTAGATCTTTTCTCATCACCATGTTCAAAGCTACACATCCTGGTTTGACTATGTCCCACAAACTTTCATAAACTATGTTTTAATACTCATTTGTTTCAAAGTGGCTTTTAATTTCCCATAGGACTTTTTCTTCCACTTTGATTTCTCTTGGGCCCAGATGGAGAATCCAGGATCACCTCCTGTGTGAACATCAACAGATCAACATTAACTCCGACTCCCTTGATTATATAATCTAACAGAATCTCAGTTTATGAACATGTTTAGGGGACGCAGAGGCATACCATGATAGATGACTAAAGAGTTAGCAATGCAATTTGACCAACAAAATTTCCACTGTAACACAGAAAGGAGGTTTTTGTTTTGAAACAAGATGAATCTATTGAATTATAAATCACTGGAGTGAAAGAACTAATGAGAACATGTGACAAGGATGGCTCGCCTCAACAGATATTTTTGTGACCCATAGTTTTAATGTTCAGTGCTCTTCCAGCTGCTGGCCTCAGACTTACCTACCTCTAGATGGATGAAGGAATCTAAGACACTTCACAAAACCCACCAGTTCTGAGTACTAGTCCCTCACTATGTGATAATTTAATTAACCAACAACTAAGTCTCTGGATCACTGCCACTGTATAGCTAAGTGATCTCCAGGGAGCTATTCATTCTAAGCCTCAGTAAAAACCAGGAGGAGCTATCTGGCACAAATACCATGTGGCATCACAAATGATGCCCACCTCTCTCTGACCTCTTTAAACTCCATCTCTTCTGTCAGCTCCAGTTCATTGCTAGTAACACACACCCCGGGAGGCAGCAGGTGATGGTTCAAGTAGCTGGCTTCCTGCCACACCTGGATTGAGTTCCTTGCTTCCGATTGTGGTAGCCTGCAGTCTTGGACTTTGTCTGGCATTTGGGGAGTGGACCAATAAGATGGTGTTCTGTCTGCCTTGCACACTCTGAGATAAATAAAAGTCTGGAATGGACTTTTATGGAGATTAAATATGAAGAACATGCCACTGACTGAACACTCAAATGAGCTTTAGTTAGCAGTAGTAGTAGAAAAGATGACAATAGAAATGCTGTTGTAGATATGTTATTGGCACGAAGAAACAGATATTGGTTTTATATATCCTGTAGGGGTGACTCCTGAAGAAGCACCACAGTCTTACACATGTTTTTCAAACCCTTCTGTAGGGGGTTGGCATGAGTAGGCAGAACAATTTTGCTAAAATCTGATTTTTGTGTATGGTGCCCTGCATTCCTAGAAACAAAAATAGCAGCAGCCTTAAGAACAAAGCTAGAAAACTGCTGCTCTCCCAGAAAGAATCCGATTCCATAGTAATGGAAAAATCGAGGCTTTTCCAATAAAAATAAAATCAATATTTTTAAAATCAAGGTCCTAATCAGAGGTGTTAGTGAGGCTGCTCCCCAAATCTGCCCACATGAGCAGTGGCCCGACCTGCTGTGCATGCTGCCCAGCTGGCCTTGTTCGGGCAGAGACAGGCTGAGCGTCCTTCCAGGAAGGGACCTTGGTGCTTCCCGGCAGGCAGAGAGAGGCTTTTCAGGCTTGTTTTGCAATACAAGCACCACTGCTGGCCCCAAAACTCATAGTAAAAATGTTGTTTATTCTTTGCCTTTATTGAGAAACACAGAATCATCTGGACATGGAAGAAAGAAATATTTTGCATTTGAAATGCTTCCAACTGGGTGTTCTTGATTTCAGTTTAGGCAATAACTGTGGTTTTACCACCCTCATTTGATAATTACTTCTGTTGTGAAAATCAAATAGTTTTTGGGTGTATGGAAGATTGTGCATGAATGATATCACCCAAAATAATCCTTGCTGTTCTTGTTTAGCACATGTCCTTTTGATATTTTTAGCATATTCTAGTTGACAAATGAATCTGAATCACTGATTTTTCCTTACTCTTTCATTTTTTTTCCCCCCCTTTCAGGCCTTTGAAGAAAAGCTACTTGATCAAACACCTGACAGTCACAAATCTGAAACCGTGCTTCAGAACCCCAGCACATAGTGAAGGCAAAAGGCAACACTGATAATTATACCTGTCAAGAAGCTGTGAACACATGGTGTATAAAATCTTTACCAAGGCAACTCGACACTTTCTTTCTCTGGGCTTGAACCCCCGCTGCTCACGTGCTCAGTACACACGTAGACCTTCTATTCACTGCAGTGGGAATTCTCAGTGTAGAGAGAGACAAGGAGGTTTTCCAGTCTGCAGACTGAAAGAGTACAAGCAGAATAAAGTCTGTGACTTTTTACCAAATTACCAGAGACAGGATGAAGTGAATCTTTGGTCTATAGCTTTTCCAGAGATTAGCAAACCCCTCATTAGGCTACAGTTCAAACTGCATCAGTTCAAGGTTGTCATCCCTTAAAAGAAACCTACCTATGCATTGCCCCTTCCGCTGACCTGTTCCACAACCCCTGTTGCTGAGGTGTCTGCAGTGGAGTCCCAGTTAATTGCAAATTCAACCTCTACTCTCCTCTTGAAAATGTCAAGTTATTAATACTAATTTATACCCTCTACAGGATCTAGGGGTTCTGTTTTTTCATGAATTTCATTATGTATTAATAGAGTGAGATGATTTTAGCTTAACTTTTAGTTTGTTAGAAGCAAGGGTAAGAACTCTTGCATACTGTATTTTTTTTAATTTTTAAGTATTACTTGATCTATTATTACTATTAATTCTAACAGAATATAATATCTATTTATTCCACAATATATATATACATATATATATATTACCAGAGTGCATTTGTTACAGCATAGTTTCTTTTCAAGTATAATGCATCTGGTGAGAAAATGCTATATATACATACATATATTTAAGAGCCCAATCTCAACAGGTTTTTTGTTTGTTTGTTTGTTTTGGTGTCTGTGTGTATGTTGTATTGTTTTATTTGCAAACTCTGGAGGATTCTAAACTCTTTTTACATGCACTCATGTGCTACCATAGAAGTCTATTTATTTGATATTTTGAAGTATAGGATTTTATAAAACTAAACTGCAACATACTCATACAAACTGTGGGTCAGTTTCCCCGGAGATGAAAGTTGGGTATTTCTGGCATGCTCAGATCCTAAGTATTGTTCATGTGAAGATTAGGCATCATAGGGAATGGTACCAATATTCTGGGTAACAAATGTGCTTCCTTTCAAGGGAAAGAACTCCCATTTCACTTGAAAGTAAACGCAGAACGAACCACCATCTTTAGGAAAGTATTCATCAGAAATACCTATTAGAGCCACTCATTCATTTCATAATCTTGTAGCAAATCCAGGCACCTAAGTATGGATTTACTTAATGGAATACTTAGGAAGCAGAAATTAAATACCTAAAACATGAAAACATTTATGAAAAAAGAATCATCATCCAGTTTTTCAAAAACAGTCCCGTTTAGAGACTGTCTTGTTGAAAGTAAAGTAGAACCAATCCGCAGTACCCAGCATATTTCATCTGCCTTGTTGAGTGGTATTATTGTCAATACCAAGTTTTCCCTGTTCTTCACTCAATCATGTATCAAAGGACAAGCGTCAAGGAAAGTGGGAAGTATGCCAATTTCAACAACGTCTCCATCCTTAAAAACATATCATTTTCTACTAGAGACAAGTAGGGGTTGGGGGGACAGTGAGGACCCTGAATGTTATGTAAAATAGGTTTACAGAAGCGACAAGCATGACACAAGAGAATGAATGGAGACTATGTGAGTACTATTCAGTTTGAAAGAGATAGTTTTCATTTTTATAAGAAAGATTTAATAAGACATATATTTTCATTACCATTCAGCAAAGAAATATTAAGCCATTCAGACAGTGCCACAGATTCTCATGAAGGGAAATCTTACTCTACCCTTTTTCATGAGAAAATGGTCATTTCGACACATCTCAATACATTGCGTGAATTTAGAATTAAGGCAAACATGTTTTCATTTAACCACAAAGTTAAGTGTATGGTTTAATACAAACACTGTCATGGTGTCACAGAAGTAATGTTCAAATCAGCAAAACCGAACATCTTCGTTTCCTGCAAGTTTTTGTATTTTATGTTTGATTTGCATAGTGTTAAATGCTGTGTGTGCCAGGTTATTTGCCAAAGTGAAGATGCAGTCCATTACATCTGCAACATCCAGGGATGAATGCCAGGCCACCATGGTCCATGCCAGAAGCTACTTTGCTCAAATTCAAGACTTCCACTAATGCTTTAGTCAAATGTAACCATCCCTGAGACTCAGCATGGCTCCTTGTTGTTCTTAAATTTTTCACTTAAGCCAGATATAAAGGAAAGAAGTAATACTACAATTTGCACCAATACTCATTTTGTTAATGAGTGTATTAGAACAACTGACATGTTCCAGATTGTGTCATGTAACTTGACATGTCAGGTTACAGGTATAGAAACCTCATCTTCAATATAATAAACAAATTAGGTATTAAAATTTAGGAGCAAAAAAAAAATCCATTATAGCTCCATAAGTAATCCCAATGAATTTCAGTTCTTTCCTTTAGTGGATCTGGTGGCCAATGGGACAGGTTTTTGCAAATGCTTTCTTGCTATGATTTTGATAGCTAATATGCGAAGCATTGTTCAGTTAAATAATCCTCAAACCTTTTCATTGAAGCATTTACATTTTGATCCTGTTGCCATTTCAGACAGGACATCTGCAAGGAGAATAATGAGCTTCAATTACAATTGACTTCGGAAAGAATAACAGACTTTGTGTATCATGTCATCAACAGGGAATTCTCCAGTAACCCCTATGTTTTAAGACAAAGCTAAAATTTAAATACAAAATATAGCATTCAGGACTGTTTAAAGATTTGAGGACATCTGAAGGACCTTGTTCAAGATGGATTGTGCCATTGTGTAGATGCAGTTTCAATTGTGACAACAAACTGATCTTATTTCCTCTCTCTCAGCTGCGAGGATGCTAAGATGTGAATTATGTTGTCTGAATTATGTTAAACATCTATCGTCATTGGTGAGTGTGTGGATAATTCTGGAACTTCTTATCTCTTAGCTAGTTTGTCTTTGTCATACAGACCTACCCTGTAAGACCAGCTTTACCCAACATTTTGAAATAGGAATCAATGCCCCCAAAGATTCAGGGAGGCTGATGTAAACATGATCTTCCAAAACAAGAAGTGATCCCACCCATTTCATCTTTCTCTAGTTGACACATTCTGTGAGAGAAAAAGCTTTGGTTACCATACTAACTTTGCAGCACAAAGTAGACAGTACTTGTTGAATGAATGAGCACACACACACACACACACGGAAAAGGTCACTTCTTTCATGTTTGATTCCTAGTGACATACCTCAACTGAAAACCATATCCCTGCTCAAACTTTTCTGTGAATTTATTCATTTAACACTTAACTGTGTGCTAAGTGCATGTTAAGTTCTGAAAACACAATGAGGAAGCAAGACCGACATCATCCCCTCATGGAATTCATTGTGAGAAACTACTCCTTGCTTATTGCAATAACTGACCATTGGGTCCCTTTTATACCTGTTAGAATAAACAGAATCCCTCACCCCATGGAAATTATAAAATACTTCCTACACAGATTAGTGTGAGCTTGTTCTTCTAAACACACCACTCAACAATCCTGCTTGCTTTATCCATAAACTACAGTTAGAACCCAGTGAGGTAGATGAGTAGTTACTCATAACATCTGTTCCAGCTACTGTGTTCAGTGCTGTCACTTACTATCTCGTTGAATGCTTTCAATAATTCAATTCAGTAGGTTCCATTCTACACACAAGAAAACTGGAGCACGGCCATGTGTTGTATCTTATCCAATGTCACACAGCTAGCAGGTGGAACTGGGGTTTGAACTCACATAGTTTGTCACAAGAGCTCATGCACCCAACTATGATCTGTGGTTTGGGGAACATCATTACATTAAATAAATTAAGTCACTGTATATGAACATACACTGAAGTTATAACATGATACAGGAAAGATATTAGTAAAGTATTCACCATCAACGAATCACATTAGTGGCAAAACAGGGTGAGAACTCAATGTTATGTTGCAGCATATGCTCATGAAAAAACAAAAACTTTAAGACAGGGACATGGATAAAAATACAGATCCAGAAAATTTCTGACATGGAATAAACATTTCAATGACTTTTCAGAATTATTTATTGCTAGCCACTGTGTCTATTTGGTGCTATAAAAACTGAAAGAAGCAACACCCCTCTGTAAGGGCTTATAATACACAGTGCAGAGATGAGCAAAGGATGTTTCTTATTCCTAGAGAAGGAGTGGACACTAATCCCGTTTTCTTTCCATTGCATGTGCATCACGCCTTTCCAGTTGTTTCCATTATTTTTCTGAAAGAGCTGCAAAATTGTGCAGTGGTTGAACCTGACCAAAGTGGTATTATGCTGCTGGGAAGTAAAAGTATTAGAGACCTGACTGGTTGTATTGTTTTCATTATCAGATGACTGAATAGGTCTTTGTGAAGCATGGTTATGGAGACACCTGACCATTTGGGGCACTACATTTCCTGTGTTTCTTCATTCCCCGCTACACAGCAGGGTTATTCTGTTGAGGAATTGGGCTCTGTAAAGAGATTTCCCCCCCCTTTCGACTCTCACACTGAGCGTATGACATTTCTGTGACCAAATTTGTAGGGGGTTTCTAAAGCAATTCTCCAAGTGGATACCAGCTAGGTGTTTTATACTTCAGTTCAGTTTTGATGCTGTCTATGACATCCCTCCAATTTTTCCTATAAATTACTGTTAGATAACCCCCTTAAAGTTATTCCTTTGTTCAAATCCTCCAAAGGATTCATTCTCTCTCCCCGTGGCACTCTCTCTCTTTCACACACACACACACACACACACACACACACACACACACACACAAGGATGTGGGTTTTAAGATTCTTAAGACTGAACAAGAAGAGATCATTAATATGGTGTCAGAGAAGGTGGGGATTGTACTGTTAAACTGTACTTTAGTCTCTGAATGCAAAATGCTACAGAGTGTGAAATGTGACAGTGTTGAAAACTTATATGAGTATGAATAGAAGTTGCAGGGCTCCATGACACAGGAAAACCGCGAATTTCCTCACTGCTGTGTAGTGGGGAATGGAGAAACACAAGCTGTACTCCAGGAGTGGTCAGACCATGCAGCAGGTAGAGGTCAGCAGGAATGAGCCAACGGCGTTGTGTATGAATGTTTCTTTAGGAGACAGTCAACAAAACCTAGTTGTGCACGATAGAGGTAGCTGGTTGGGCCCCCTTTAGG